ATAAATGGAATTAATGGATGATATATAATGAATTTTCTTATTCATTTTCTTCTATGATATATGATGACCTTGAATTATCTATCTTTTTTAAATGCTCAATTAATAGCAAAACTACTATTATCTTTTGATGCTATCGGTTTGAAAATATCATAACAGTCTGCTACTGAGTCCAATGAGTCTAATAAGCCAAAATAAATTCGGCAGGGAAAATGTGTACAGTACTGAAGGCGAGTAAATGAGTATTGTACATATTGAAAAAAAAAATCCAAGTTCAACATAGCAATTCATATTCCCAACATCCTAACACGGTACTATATATATAATATAAGGTGAGTGAGCGATTACCGTATTAAAAGGTACGGTACGCATTTCTACATACCATACACAGTTAGTTGCCCATGTCAATATTAACATATAAAATTTTGGTACAATTTAAAATTTGGAACGTTGTCATCTGTTAACTTTTTTAAAAAAAATAATATATTAATTTTCAAAACCGATTCGGTTGTAAAAAAAAGGTTTTTGCCAATAAAAAATTAATTGATATTTAGCACAGCGCTAATAGAATACATATTAGGGATTCTACTCGAACAAGAAATTGCATTACCATTACGTATAGAAATATATGATTTATCTTAACTAGACTATATATGATTTATTACATTGGCGTGCATTTCTTTACGCGCATTTAAAAAACCAAAAAGTTCATTTGATCTTTTTTGTCGTTGAGGCGAAAAGAGTCTTTTTAGCTTAAAAAAGATAATAAACCTTTGGAATACATTGATAAATTTTCTTCAAAATCAATAGAAAACCCCTTTTATTTTATCAGTTCATGTGGTTCATATTATTAATATATTAAACATAAAATGGTTTGTAATTTATTAATTATTTATTATAAAAAAAAAGTAGCTTTAGGGAGGTGAATTACGCAAAAATTATGTTAAAATCGTCTTATGATTTCTACAATAAAGAAAAAAAAACAAAATTTACGAAAGTTTTATTAATTACAAGGTTATATATAAATAATATAAATTTAAATATATAAATTTATATTATATTAATTAAATTATTAAGTATATATTATTAAAAAAATAAAAAAATATCTATATTATAATACATAAAAATAAATATGAATAATAATATATATTATTATTATTTAACATATTCATAAAATATATAATCTTAAAAGC